GAACCCGGGGAAAACCCACGCGGACACAGGGAGGACATACAAACTCCTCACAGAAACACCCACCGGTCCTGTGGAACCAGGGCCGCCAGTGTTCTTGCTGTGTGGCTCACAGTGCTAACCACTGGGCCGCCGTGCCGCCCAATCACAGGTAAAGGAGGAGAATAGGGGAGGAGGGGGGTTTCTTCCAAACGAAGATAAAGTGAACTGAAAACTGAGGCTATTTATAGTAGCTTAGGGCTCATATGATTGGAAGATAGTGATTAGCAAATGCGAGACTGGCCGTGATAAATCATAAGCACGTGATCCTCTCAAAATTGGTTTATGAATAAACTTCACTTAATCAGGTAAAAAGTTATAGCTTTTTTTTTTTTTTTTTTTTTTTTTTACAATTGTAAAGATTAAGGAAACTGCTTTCACGTTGTCATCTTTGGGTTTTTTTTGAGGAAAATAATGAACTTTGTGAAGTTTGTTTATAAACTAATTTCGAGAGGATCACATGCTTATGATTGCTTGCGGCTGGTCTTGCACTATCCAATTCATGATTCACCAATCATACGATTCCTAAGCCCCTATAATTCAATTCAGTTCACCTTTATTTGTATAGTGTTTTTACAATGTAGATTGTGTCAAAGCAGCTTCTAAAGCACAGGTGTCAAACTCAGTTCCAAAAGGGCCGCAGCTCTGCACAGTTTAGTTCCAACCCTAATTAAACACACCCGATCAAACTAATTGAGTCCTTCAGGCTTGTTTGAAACCTACAGGTAAGTGTGTTGGAGCAGGGTTGGAACTAAACTGTGCAGGGCTACGGCCCTCCAGGAATTGAGTTTGACACCCCTGTTCTAAAGGGTGCACCCTGCCACACTGCGAAGGAAACTTTTGGCTCAGCTCCTTCTTTACCACAACGGACTGGGATATCGACCGCATTCATGCTGCCGCTGCACCAATCCGCCTGTCAATCTCACGTTCCATCCTTCCCTCATTCGTGAACAAAACCCCAAGAGCCAGTTTCTGTGCCTGACGATTAGGTTGTCGTGGTCCTAACGTTCGACCACCACTTATTCCACAATGCACCGGCCCCTTACAGTTCCCCTTGCAGGTGGTGGGCCTGCGGTAGGATGGTCCCACGTCACTCCTTCGAACTAAGCTTGGCTGGGTTCTGTGGGAAAAACCCAGCCACCTGGCACTCGCATACGAGCCCCAACCCCAGTCCTGGCTCCAGGGTGGGGCCCTGGCTGCATCATGGTTTTTAAGGGGTTTTTGACCCGTACTTATGCCGAGTTCAGATTTTCAAAGTAGTCGTGTCACAGATGTTTTCACACTGCATGACTATGTGGGCAAGCGTTTCATCGCTGCTTTGTTTACACTGCAAGATGGTTCGGCGACATGGACATTCACATTGCATGACTTTACTATAGGGAGAATCGCCGACACCTTCGTCCAAACTACGTCTCACAGCCAAAAACAAGTATTATATCTTTTGTTAAAAACTACATAATGAGAAAGAAGCCTTTAATGGGGTTGAACATGTACATGTTTGCTCACCTGGGTTTAAAGGGAATTAGCCATTTCTCCTCAACATTGATAATAAACTAATTTCTTTCTGTATGAAATGTCAAACAGACACGGTTGCTGCTGAGTCCTGTCAAACCTCCACTAGTTTTCCCTCCATTTCGTGAGTCCAAATAAACCGAAAAAGAGCACTTTTAACTTCTCCCCCAGCCTCCCGCTGGCCTGCAGCAGGTATACACACACACGCACACACAAGTGAATGCTGCTCTCTCATTGGCTGTAGGCGATCGCTGATGTTATTTTCAGTCATAACTCAATTCACACGGCATGATTTGAATCGCCGACAGCTCCAGATATTTAGCACGCCAAATATCTCACAGGCATCGGTGACTCATCGACGATTCTCTCAGATCGCGTCTTTGATAGTTCATACTGTGTGATTGTCACTTACGTGCACGAGCAGCGATTTGCCTGTGATTTCAGGCATTTGTCGGCGATTTCTCAAAACCTGTCGGCGAGCCAAAATCGGGGCTAAAATCACGCAGTCTGAACTAGGCATTAGTCTGACCTGTCACCTAAGACCTTTACGCCTTGGGAGACCCTACCAGGGGCATTAGCCCCCGACAACACAGCTCTCAGGATCACTCAGGCACTCAAACCCCTCCACCAGGATAAGGTGGTGTTTCTAGGTGGAGTGTGTTGTCTTACCCATGATAAAATGAGTTCAGCAGGAAACTATACTTTCTGACCTACAGGATCTGATGGATCACTGTTTTTTTAGGTAAAGTGAGGGTTTTATGAGGCTTTATTTATAGTTTGCTGATACACACCTAGCCATGACAGGGAAAATACGGGGGATTCGCTATCTAGCTGTTATTCTTTTTATATTCTGAAATATTAATTAGGAAGACAAAGCCTAACATTAGTTATCTCCACATCGATCTCCTGTAACGTTATTTGAACTTGATTTAAAGGACGTCTCTAACATTTTGAGTTTCGACATGTTATTGAGTTAATCTACTGAATTTGAAAATATTAATGTTCTAGAAACCCAATCTTATATAACAAATAGAGCTGTAAATGTTATATATTATCTACACCATTTACCGTTGGGTTTTTATTTTAAAACACCTACTAAACATTAAAATGAAAGTAAGTTCTTATTTGCCAGATATTAAGGCATGGAATAAGCCATAAACCAAAGGAAAAGGCGCTGTTGCGTCATCCATATTTTCTAGTCATCTCCAGTGAAAAAGTTTTACATCGGCAAGGGACTTTAGCCCCTTTCACACATACAGAAATAATACCTCTGGATATGGGGGTCCAAAATAACTAACAAAACGACAAATAGCTATTTTAAAGACAAACTAAACATCCCCAACAAAATAAACATTCCGAAAAGAAAGAAAAATACAACTTCCCTTTCCCCCTGCTGTAGGGATAGTATACAGTTTAATCCATAGAATGACCAGTCTGGTAGATGAAGAGCCGGAGTCAGAGATTTAACTGAAGATAGTTTGCAGTTTCATCCGCAGAAGCCAGCTTCAACACTCGCAATGAGTTCCTAGGCCGCTCTGACTTGCACTACAACAATTCAGCAATTAAACTCTTTACACAAGTCCAGAAAAGGTGGGATCCAGCAGTTCTTACTGGTTACAACAGAAATAGACAATTCTAATTGCGTGCGTCAATGAAGTATTTTATCTAACTCCAGATATGGATGGCGACATGGTTCCTGGCGGTGAGGTCACCCTAAGTTATTATGAGCTGATCTCTGACCTGTGAAAAGCCAAACCAGGGACACAATAGACGCAAGAGACCATCTGTGTTAAAAACTCAAGGACGTTTCTTGTACGTTCAGCTGCGTTATCAAACTGGTTCAAGACTGTATCCATCAACAGTCTGCTACAATATCCTTACTACACACAGTGTCTATCTCCACACAAAAGGAATTACATTAAAATCAATTATAATCAAAAACAGATCAATCAAACAGCTATAATATTGTAGACAATATCAGCACAACTAGAACAGGTGTTTTTCTTCTCTGCATTGGAACGCCGTTCAGAGGGACAGATGGAGAAAGAGAGAGATCTTCAAGACCTATGACCTGGTTTGTGTGTGTCTCCTGGAAACAATGTTAAAATAGAGACAGAAAAATGCACTGAACATTCTCATATTAAGCAATGTGTTAACTTATTCATTAATTAAAATCAATTTAAAGTTGAATACTCATTCAAATGATTATATTTAATAAAAAATTATGAGAAACAAGATGAGAAAAGGATAAACATTGGGCCATGATAAGACGGATTGGAAAGCACAAATCCAAATCCTTTACTGCCTACCCACCAAAACAGGAGAAAAAAAAGTTTTAAAATAAAAAAAAGACATGCCACACCTTACGCTTAGCATCAAATTAATTTGCATTATAAAAGTAAAAAACAAAGTAGTGCACGAGTCACAAGCGCCTTGAGCTGTATCTGGGACTGCTCAAGTGAGACATGTCATGTCCCCTCTCTCTTGCCTTCTGGTGGGCTGCAGCCAGTCTTTCTAGCTCAGGAAATTAGCTGCAAAGATTGGAATCAGGTCGCAACAATCTGCAAACAAAAGAAATCAGGAAACATAGAAGAAAAACTGCAGTATAGAAACAAAAATAAAACGGTCACGGGACGTAACAGCTGATATTTCTCATTTAAAATGTAAAATCCCAGCAGTCACAGTTTTAATTTGTTTATATTGATATAGAGTCTTTAGTTTGTATCATTCATCTTCTTTGGAATTAGTTTTTAAAATAGCAATTTAGTTATTGCAGAAAATATATTATATTTTGCAAAAAAATGTGCAACATTTAAGAAAAAATGAAAGGCCTTTTCACCTTAAATTTGTCTCAAACTATTTTGTTAAAAATAAATCGTGATTAAATTGTGAATGGTGAGATTAGTTTCGTGAATTGTATCAAATCGTGAGTCAGGTGAATTAATACATCCCTAATCACTCTGCATTTCTTGCCTCAATCTGTCAATTTTGGGATCTACTGGTAGAGTGATAAAGATCTATAAGTTGATCGCCATGGATGGGTTGGTGACCACAGATCTAGATTGTATTATTATAATTGCTTTTTTGTTTACACTATTCTGTTTGTATGCAGCAAGTGCTTTGGGAGTACTATTGGGAGTATATTTAAATCATCCCAATAAAGCAACTTAAAACTTAAAGTCAAGGATCAGACAAATGTTTGTATGTGCGTGTGTCCGGAGTAAAACAATTTTAGAAAAGTGCTGTGGTGAGCTTTTGCTCCATCTAGTGGTGAGAAAAGGTAAGAATAAAATTTAATGAGCCATTTAACTTGGTGTACCTTAGCATTAATCAGTCTCCAATTCAGTGAAGTGAACATGTAAATCTCCTGAGTTCATATTGTTTGTAACTATGGGTAACACCGACAAGTATAGAGAGGTTTACATCAGACTTGAAAGTATAAATGGAGAAATCTGAGCTGCTTTGTGCATGTACTGAGCATCTGCATGCTCTTCTTTCATTGGATAATGATCTTTAAATCATCTCATCATGAAGCCTTCAAATGAGACTCAAACTGAAAACATCCTTCTCTGCTATCCGCTCTTGTCAAACTCCTGTCCGAAACTGCATCGTCTTGCTGTAGTTCAAGTGGGATTGTATGTTTTCCTGTTGCTGATGATCCTCACCACAGTTTTCGGGAACCTGCTGATCATCATCTCCATCTCTCACTTCAAACATCTGCAGTCTCCAACTCATCTGATCGTTCGCTCTCTGGCTGCCTGTGATTGTCTGCTGGGCTCTTTGGTCATGCCGTACAGCATGGTGCGATCTGTTGAAGGCTGCTGGTATCTGGGAGATGTTGTGTGTAAAGTTCATTCTAGTTTGGACATGACTTTCTGTATCTCATCTTTACTGCATCTCGGTTTAATATCTGTGGACAGGTACTGGGCCATTTGTGACCCTCTAAGATACAGATTAAGGGTCACAAACACCACAGTGACTGTATTTATTGTCTTCATATGGCTGTTTTCATTTGTGTACAGCTTTTATGTTGTTTTTTCAGGTGTAAACACAGTTGGTTTGGAGACTTTTATCATGCAGGTTTACTGTGTGGGAAATTGTGTTCTGTATTTTAACAAACAATGGGGTCTTATATGTCCAATTCTCACATTCTTTCTTCCCGGGACAATCATGAGCTCTCTGTATATGAAAATCTTCCATGTTGCACGAAAACATGCAAAGGTTATGTCAGAAAGAGTGACTGGAGGGTTGAAGAGCCAAAGCTCTGCTCAGAGGGAGAGAAAAGCAGCTAAAATTCTGGCCATTGTTATGGGGGTCTTCTTGTTCTGCTGGCTGCCATTTTTTACAGTTAACGCTCTCGATCCTTTTTTCAATTTTTTTACACCAGCTGATATTTTTGATGCTGTGATTTGGTTTGCATATTTGAACTCCACTTGTAACCCTTTGATTTATGGACTTTTCTATCCTTGTTTTCAGAAAGCCTTCAAGATTCTCATATCCACTTATCTTTGTGGGGTGAGGAATTTAGACACATTTGCATGAGTATAACATGCACACAATTGCTTATTTCATTCTTTCATTCAGTACATTCTGAAACTATTTAAAAAGTCAGCATTTACTGGGTTGTTCTCATGAAATGATTAAAACAACAAAAACAATGACACTTATTTTAAAAATTAAAATAATTAAGAATTTTGTATTGTAAAAATTATAAGGCAATTCTGTTCTCTGCTGAGTATACGAGTAATTGCAACATGAGAATTAATTATTTGTTTTACTGAAGTTTTCATTACCTCAATGTGTGTCTAAAGGTTTGTTGTGTTGTAATTTAAACATTAATATGGATTTTATTCATTTTAGAATAAAAACAAATAATTGTTCTAATAGATTTTTTCACATGGCGGAACAAATAATGTCCTAAATATTCATGCATAATTATTATACTAATAATAATAATGAACAAAAGCAGGAAAATTATGTTCATGACTGATGTTCTCATCCTCCACAGAAAATTTAAAGCACTGCTTAAACACACATAAAAAGTTACAATAAAAAGCACATGGGCCTGTTATTCAAGTGGCTGTAATATGACAGGTTAATTTTCTCTTGTCAGAGGGTTTACACTGCTTTTGGATTATCATTACCGAAACAAGTACACTGAAAAAAATTATTCAAAGATGATTTCTTGGATTTACTCAATTTTTATTTATTTATTTTTTTTACGTTAAGTGGTTGTAAATAATTTATTCGGGCTAAATTTAAACAAACAAATTCAATTGAACTTTGTTAAATTTAATTTGTTTAAATTAAACACAAATAAATTGTTTGCAACAGTTCTGCATTCAACACTTTTTCATTTAGAAAATTGTTAGATTTTTTTTTTTTAATTAATGTAAGTTTTTAAAATTCTAATCATATTCACAGAGTAAAAATGAGCTCATCCATCATAGGTAATGTATTAATAGCAAAACATACTGAGGAACCACATCCTTTGCAACTCCATTCTCTCATACCGCAATCATTTAAGCTTTTCTATTTTGAGAATTTAAGCATATTGCATACTACTATTAAATAACTCTTAGGAATTGAATGCTAATTTGTACTAGCCCACTCATAAATGCTCCATTTCCATTTAGGAACCTCATCGTTTCAATAATTCTGCTAGCAAATGACCTGCTGCTACTTGCTACCCTGTGCTATTGCTTTTGGGCCCAACTGATTAGTCAATTTGATTCAGTTTACATTGTAGAACTTTTTTCTCAAGGCCATGTATTCTAATTTCAATCTAAGAGTTTTACTTTAGTCTTTTGTTGTTGATTAATGGTATTGATGGCAGCGTGTATAGGATAATTTCTGATGCATATAGAGGAACTTTTATTATGTAATCACTATATAATCTGCCACTAATAAAATATAGGTTATTATTAAAATACACTGTTAAAACTTATAGAAATACATATATTCAAGTGATGCAAAAGAGACATGCAGACAGAGCGTATGCATTATTTAGACAAATGTATGTACGTATTGACCAAAACAAAAACAACCCCTTACTAAAATAGCATGCATAAAGAGAATCATTTAGAAAGTATGGAAACAACATGATCATATGCAAACACATGACTGTAAGCACATGCTATATGATTCATAAGATATGTAAAAACAGAAAAACATACAGCCATTAATTAAAAAGCTAGGATCCTATTGGAGCCGGGAATAGGGTGATGCTACATCACATCTCATGATGACTAAGGATAAAAAACTGTATATAACTGTGGGTTTTTGGACATTGAGGAGGGAGAGAGCTCGATCGATCATCTCTGCTATAACAATAAACTGCTTCAACTTGAGAACTTCGAAGACCTCAGCTTTGTTTTGAAACTTAGAAGATGTTTGTTGAGATCCAGTGCGACTTTCCACTACACGTGTTGATTTTGGCTGCTTCAATAAAAATATTGTGTAACACTTTAGTTTAGGTCTCAAGTCATTTATTATTAACTGGTAACCACTGGCTTATTAACTGCCTTTTATTCAGATGTTCATTATTCATTAGGGGATGTCACATTCTAGGGAATGAATAACATCATGTAAATATATAAATAAATATAGAAGAAAACAAAGAGAAACATTGATCTTAGTTCAACCAAAGCCACAGATATAAGGAAGGTCCTGGTTACTTTCGCAACCCAAATTCTCCAAAGGAGGGAACGGAGATGTTGTGTCTAAATTGCTAGATGACCAATCACCCTGAAGAATAAAAAAACAGGCCAGTGAATACGCTTATTTCACGCGGCCGCCATTTTAAAGAACCAAAGCGAGGCTGCGGTGGGAAGAAACCCGGAAGTATAGAACCAGCACTGTAAACATTGCAGTAACATGCTGTGCACTACAAACATCCAGCTGTTGTAGAGATTTCAAAATGCAGAAGTGGTGTAAACATCACTTTAATATGATTCAGTTAGTTTAATTGAAACAATTAAAAGCAATTTAGCATCAAACAACATCCGTAAGAGTAATACACTTAAGTGTTCTCCTAGGCTTCAGCTCATGGCACCAGTCAAACACTTTGGGTACGCTTTCCTGCTTCAGCCTATGTAACCCGGTGAGTGATAAAACACTGCAGTCCGCTCTAGCACACCCTCGTGTTGTCTGTTATAGTGTTGTCCCGGTACTGAAGTTTTAAAAACGTCTTTTTCCTGCTAACATTCAAGTGCCGCTGAGCACGGATGACTCGACTGATCTTCACGGCTGTTTCGCACTCCAGTCTCCTTGTATCTGTGTTTGCACTCAGTTTATCGCTCTTCACCCAGTGCAAACGCAGATACACAGAGACTGGAGCACGAAGCAGCGGTGAAGATCAGTCGAGTCATCAAGCAGATCGCTCGTCTGGGTTTGTACTTGTAAACAGCAGAAGGTGAAGTGATGAACTTCTCGGCCAATCACAAGCATTTCTGTTGAGCTCGTGAACACAATGGCAAATCAGCGCTGTTTAAGAAAGCCATCAACAGTGCCTTAAATGTTAGCGGGAAATTGACGGTTTTTCGTTGAATTCAGTATCATGACAAGTCTAATGTAGTGAAAGAATCAGTTCATTAACTTAAGTTTGATAAATGGCAGCTAAAACGTGTGTTTGGAAAAGAAACAGTTAACTAATTAGTGCCATTTCCCTTAAATTAGCTGAAAATAAGCTGATATCCCTTTTATTTTCACCATTTAGAACAGACCTTAGGGTCACTCAGAAGGCGGTAAATTATAAATTTGTGTTATTTTCTCTTCACTGATAAGACATGCAACCAAGTACACAACGTTCCTATGTGACTCCCAACGATACTTCCGGGTTCCCACCGTAGCCTCAATTTCGCTTTTAAAAATGGCGGCTGCGTGAAATCAGTCTACATGCTACTACAGCCACGTTGTGCGCTCTGGCCATGAGAAACACAGACAACTCAATCAAATCCAGTCAAATGTTTGTTTGAAATTTTAAATTTGGCATTTGCAGCTCTAAAAAGGCAAATGGGTAGTTGTCTAGTATTTTATCAAGTCTAAAAACATCCGATAAAGCATATCTATTTATATTAAAAATGCCTCTTATAGCTTTGTGGGATGAATAGAGGTGTCATGTAGGGAATCCATGTGTTTTTTGAAGGAAAAATAAATATTTATCCATATTTTTGAGCAACTTCTGGTGAATGGCAGCTATTGTCATAGTCTTATTTTTTGATGATGATGATGATTATTATTATTATTATTAATTTTTATTATTATCACGAGGGCCTGATATATTCAAAAACACTCCATAAAGATTAAGTATATGAACATCAAAGATCTGGCCCCTTTTTTTTTTTGAGGCTGTGTTGTGTTTGTATCCATGGGTTACACTGACAGGTGTAGAAGGGGTTACTTTGAATATTAAAGTATATATAAGGACATAATTGAGCAACATTTATAGTCTTACAGTAGATGGCCATGTACTATGCATTTGTTTATCTTTGTTTGCATGTTGGTCTTTATCAAACTGTATTTCATGAAATTATTATTTTTATCCTAGTTTTTATCATTTTCAGCCTTTTTAGGTTTACAAAGAAAATTATCCAAGCATTTTGAGCAGACGTGATGACTTCAAATGAGAGTGAAAACATTCAGCTCTGCTATCCGCTCTTGTCAAACTCCTGTCCGAAACTGCATCGTCTTGCTGTAGTTCAAGTGGGATTGTATATTTGCCTGTTGCTGATGATCCTCACCACAGTTTTCGGGAACCTGCTGATCATCATCTCCATCTCTCACTTCAAACATCTGCAGTCTCCAACTCATCTGATCGTTCGCTCTCTGGCTGCCTGTGATTGTTTGTTGGGTTCTTTAGTCATGCCGAACAGCATGGTGCGATCTGTTGAAGGCTGCTGGTATCTGGGAGATGTTGTGTGTAAAGTTCATTCTAGTTTGGACATGACCTTATGTATCTCATCTTTACTGCATCTTGGTTTAATATCTGTGGACAGGTATCTGGCCATTTGTGACCCTCTAAGATACAGAATAAGGGTCACAAACACCACTGTGACTGTATTTACTGTCTTCATATGGCTGTTTTCAGTTGTATACAGCTTTTATGTTAAATTTTCAGGAATAACTGCAGTTGGACTTGAGATGCTTATATTGCAGACTTACTGCGTGGGACGTTGTGTTGTATTTTTTAACAAACAATGGGGTCTTATATGTCCTGTTCTCGCATTTTTTCTTCCTGGGGCCATCATGAGCTCTCTGTATATGAAAATCTTCCATGTTGCACGAAAACAAGCAAAGGTTATCTCAGAAAGAGTGACTGGAGGGTTGAAGAGCCAAAGCTCTGCTCAGAGAGAGAGAAAAGCAGCTAAAACTCTGGCCATTGTCATGGGGGTCTTCTTGTTCTGCTGGATGCCTTTTTTCACTCTTACTGCTCTCGACCCTTTTTTTAACTTTTTAAGTTCTGCTGATGTATTTGATGCTTTATTCTGGTTTGCATATTTAAACTCCGCTTGTAACCCTTTGATTTATGGATTTTTCTATCCTTGTTTTCAGAAAGCCTTCAAGATTCTCATATTCACTTATATCTGTGGGGTCAAGAAGGCAAACACTTTAACATTTGAATGAATACAGTTTACCCAAA